CCTGCCTTGTTCTGTCTTATCCTATCCTATCCTATCCTATCCTATTATAGTTTCTCTAAGGAAACAGAGTTAGATGTCAAATGGTTAACAAACAATTATTTATGGTATGAAATCTACCGAACAGCAGGTTTTGTTTCATCCAGTGTTTAATTACGTGACTAGTTTCTGCTTCCCAGAGATTTCTTGGATACTATTCTTAAGAGAAAGGTAAAAGTTTCTCCTATCCAGTCATGTGTGACTCTAGTGGGTGGTACTCATCTCTGTTTCTTAGCCAAGAGAGCCAGCCTTGTCCAAACGTGTCCAAAGAGATGTTCTTCACCATGTAGCCAGCATGATTATATGCCAGGGTACATGGAATGCTGTTAACTTCCCTCCAATCAAAGTGATACCTATCTATCTGCTCACAGTTGCATGCTTTTTAACTGGTTGGCAGAAGCAATGGCAAGTAATGGGAGCTCACACCATCACATGGTGCTCAGGTCTCAAACCTGGGCTTTCAACTTTCCAGCCAACAAGTTCAGGGTCTTTAATTGCTAAGCCATTGTGCCCCTCACATTCTTAAGGTAAGGATGGACAATGCACCGTTTATGGGCTGTTGCAGCTTAGCCCTCAACCATCTCTGAATCCCCAAGATCATATTTAGAAATTTGATGGTTAACTGCTGAACTATTTCCTACTGATTTTCAGTTTAGAAAACTTAAAGAGCAAGAATGATGGAGTAGGCCTACTAGTAGATCTGATTATGAACTATTCTTACCATTTGTAGTGGCATGCAAATCAATCAACATTTCTTCATTTAACTAGATGTACACCATTCTTCTTCACTTTTGAACAGGATGGATGCTTTGCTGCTTTTACCATTCCTTGTCCATTATTTCTGCTTAATGTATTAATTTTCTAGTAATTATATTTAAAAGAATATCCTTTTGATGTTTTATTTTCCCATAATTATATATACAGTTGATAGTAATTTTCAAATACAGTATGGCTTTTTATGTAAGATCATCCATTGCCTTTTGGGGTAAGCAACTTTATGCAAAGGACAGAAAAGTATGAATTAGTAAGACAAATATATTAGAACTATAAGAAATATAGAACCGTGCAAGTATCACCCATTATACTTCTATATTCTTTTTGTTCCTTATAACTCATCCTTGTTTTCACCAGGCTCCATAACAGCCTTTTATTTAAACTCCTCCCCTCTTTCTGTCTTCATCCAATCATAATTTCCATAGTCTTCCCTTCCTCTTGACAGCACATCAGTTTTCATATATTTACTTGGCAATTTAGTTATCAGTTATACTCTCTCTGTATACTGTATATCAGCCAGTAACAAAAAAAATCATTGTATATGGAACTATATCCACTTTTTCTATCCCCAGGCATCACACCTATAATAATAAACGTATCTCGATATAAATATCCCTTATGTATTTATCCAGAAATTCATTAAAAGCCAAGAGGACATGAAACAGTCTTGTTTTACTCCTTGCTGAAAGTTGACCATTTGCTAAGCATGCGGTTTATTCTCATGTCAGCAGCGACACTGGAACTACCAGTCTTTCTTTCCAAATTCATGTAAAACATTCCATAATTCAAACCTTTACCATATGTTTTCTCTAATTCAGCAAATATACAACAATTTTTTTTGTCGCTTTTATAGTTAAATAGTTAACATTATATATTATAATCAGAGGTGGGTTTCACTTTTTGTTACCACTGGTTCGCCCCTTCCACACATGCACCCAGCCTTCTGCACATGCACTTTGCTCGTGTGCATGCCTTCTGCGCATATGCCCGGTCTCAAATATGTGCCTAAATAGGATGGCATAGAGCCGGGATGGATGGCCACCCACAATTTCCACTAATGGTTCAGGTGAATCGGTCTGAACCAGCTGAATACCACCTCTGATTGTAATATATGTAAATTATATGTTGAGGAAGTGTACATTATAGGCTAAGTATATAATGAAGAGTTAGTTATTTCCATATAAGATAGTAGCTGTGGTGAAATTTATTTTGGTAAAGTGCTACATCTTTGACTGAAGAAAAGGATCTCTCACATATTTTACATAAAGGTTTACTCCCGCACAGACAATTTTAGCCTTTGGATTCAGTGGTCCACAGAAGCTAACAACAATAGCCATATGTTTGTTTTGTGAATAACTGTCATTTCACTGTAGTATTTTTAAAGGAAAAATTATGAAGGAATTGTAATTTAATGATGCATATAGCCAGCTAATGATCCTAACAGTGATGTGCAGTCAGGGGACGCAGGGGAGGCAGAGCCTCACCACTGTCATCATGAAAAGAAAAAAAATGTAAAGAGAAAAAGGCTGAGCTAGTTGCTGCCAGAGTCACAGTGGATGACTCTGCTTAAATGTTTAAAAAAGCCTCTAAAAAACCGCCCTTTACAGGAGGAGGCAGGAGAACCACGTGCCTAGTCTGACTTTATGATCACTTGAGCAGAGTTAAGCAAGGGTTAAAAGCCAAAAAATTCATGATGTAGATGAGGCACGTGATTCTCTTGCCTCCTCCTGTAGAGGCCATTTTTAGAGGCTTTTTTAAACATTTAAGCAGAGTCATCCATGGCGACTCTGGCAGCAACCAGCCAAGCCTGACCTCAGCTCTTGCCTTTTTCCTTTTACATTTTTACATTTTCATGATGGCAGGCAAGAGCAGAGTTGAAATCCTCTGTGAAACAGCTGGAAAAGGTAGGTGTGGGTCGGAGGGAGGG